TTTTTAAGTTTACACCAAATTTGCACCCCTTGAATTTTACAAAATTATCTCTTTTAGTTGTATTGATCCCCTAAATTTAAGAAAATTTCTTGCTTTATATAGATTACCCTTTGAAGTTGTTTGAATATATTCTCCCCTTAATCTACATTTATCCCCTAAAAAAGGATATTTTTATTGCTTATTTCTAACAAAAATTTTGGACATATTCCAAATTAAACGTTAACAACACTCTAACGATAGAAAACAATTTAGCTTTTTAAATCAAAATACATAATATATTTTTTATATAAATCTAAGAGCATGATTTACGTTGAAATTGACTATTCCACCCTCTCACTATAGGATCCTAACTCCGCCATTGATCGTTGTTCATTCAAGTATTATGTGTGTTTTTTTCTCCTCTTTGACATTAAAAATCAAAGAGCAGCATTGGTTTATGAATCCACAAATGCTTGAATAATTGTCTATCTATCTTTCACCCTGTCAAGAAATGCCTCTTCAACCACTATGGTGTTTGCCTCTCAATGTGGAAACCTCAGAATCCATATGAAGTTGACATGGCTCAGCTCTAACCCAAAAGCAATCTCTTTCATCTCTTCCATTGTTGAAGAATATTGGCTTCCAAATGCAAGAAACACTGTTGAGGGCTCTGCTTGTGCCCCAAGCCATTTCATGACCCCAACATCAGTATCCTTGCCTTCTGTACCAGGATCTCTAATGAGTGGACTGACGGGGAAGAACTTCCAATTGAGATCGTTCACAATATATCGTTGACAAACGTAATCCATGTACTTTTCCTTGATTTCTTTTGAAGTTTTGGACGGCACAGGGCAATAATCAGGGATAGCAACAGGTCTGAAATCATATTGTCATTTATCGTATTTTTAATCCATTTACCATTTCAATATGCCCCTGATGTTTAGCCTGGCGAACTTGAGTTAGTTGGATGGCAGAAAAAGGATATTCTGCATCTAACTTCATGCATGCATGACATACGAATGCTGAATAATACTACCAGAACATTGGAGAAATTCCTAATTTTATGATGAAATTTCAAATTTTTCTATAAATGGGGTGTTTTGAGTGTAGCATTCCATCAAGTGATGCAAATGCGAGCTCATTGAGTTCGCATTTCGTAGATACGATTTATCATTGAATTTCTAACTTGCAAAAACACAAAAAAAAAAAAAAAAAAATTTGCTTCGGACCTCGCATTTGTTGAATGCGCAGTCATCTTACCTCGCATTTGTCAAATGCGAGGTATATGCAAGGTTTGAAACCTTTTAGTTTTTTAATATTGATAAATTCATGTTCATGCATTTTTTATTTTTTATTTTATATACATTCAACAAACCGTTTTTGTTTTTCTTTTGAGTGTAGGTTTTGCTTTTTATTTTGTAAATTTATGGAGAATGAATTTTTAGGTTATTATCCAGTGATCATGAATTTCACATTAACTGAACACTAATATTACCTGATCCCATAATCGGATTTGTGCCTATTGTAAATCCTTTTTAAATTCAACCACTTCCCATACTATCTAATTATGCCTGTTGCTAAGTAAGTTATTGAATTAGTTAATTATCATATTAGCATCTGGTATAAAAATAACATTTTTCTTTGACAAAGACGTACAATACTATCTAGTCAACAATAGTTAATGCATAGTTGACGTAGAATTAGTTGTCCTAAGGCTTACTTCAAATATCTTAAAAATCTAATTCTAACTACGAAATATTAATTGGGTTGGTATTGAGTATTGGTTAGATTAGTGATATTAGGGATCTTACGAGTCAATAGATTATATATAATAATTAAGCACTATTAGTGCTAAAAAGATTAGATATATTGTCGATTTGTGGTAGCAGGCAGACAGTTAGGTAGAAGAACATCATAGATCGCCAAATTAGGCTTGAGAGTCTTTACCATTTTGTGTACTGGAAATTTTATAATGACAACAGCCTTTAAAGTAGTGAAAATGAGATCTAGTGGCAACTCAGAATTATTGGTAAAACGAAAATCTGCAGGCAAGTCTAGCTGATCAAGTAGCGCAGGTTCAACTCAACACAATGAGAGTACTTGGGCATGATTTGCTTGGATATGGAACTAACTCAAAGTGAAAGTTGTACAATAAAAGTAAATGTAGAATCCTCTTTCTGTAAGTTTCTTAATTAGCTAGCTCTAGGAATGGAGATGTGTGTAGGGCTGCAAACAAATCGAGCCGCTCGCGAGCGGCTCGATTCTTAATTAGCTAGCTCTAGGAATGGAGATGTGTGTAGGGCTGCAAACGAATCGAGCCGCTCGCGAGCGGCTCGATTCAAGCTCGAGTCGAGCTCGATTAATATCGAGCTCAGAATATTAAGCTCGTTAGCTCGCGAGGCTCGATTCTTAATTAGCTAGCTCTAGGAATGGAGATGTGTGTAGGGCTGCAAACGAATCGAGCCGCTCGCGAGCGGCTCGATTCAAGCTCGAGTCGAGCTCGATTAATATCGAGCTCAGAATATTAAGCTCGTTAGCTCGCGAGCCGGCTCGCGAGCTTGAGTATATATATATATTTTTTATTTTTATTTTTATTTAATAATAAAATTACGTATATTATATATATATATATTTTTTATTTTTTATTTTCATTGTAAAATTACGTATATATTCTTAATATTTTATTATTTATTAAAAAAAATATTATTTTATTTATTTTTTTAAAAATAAAATAATTATTTTTTATTTTTTTCGAGCTCGAGCTCGAGTTCGAGCTCGACTCGAGCTCGGCTCGACTTGATTCGAGCTCGGCTCGACTTGATTCGAGTCGAGCTCGAGCTCGAAAATTGCCGGCTCGTCGAGCTCGAGCTCGAGCTCGAGCTTGGTAAAATTTAGTCGAGGTTCGGCTCAATTAGCTCAAAGCTCGACTCGGCTCGGCTCGTTTGCAACCCTAGATGTGTGACCCGGAGGATATCAATGGAAACATCACAATCCTTGGAGAACTGAGCACAACTTCTTGTTCTTTGGACATGGATGTTGTCTCCATTCCTTCTTTTTTTGTGTATGTGATGAAATAAGTCTATTTGGTGTTTCTTTATATAGACAAAAGGCGTGGGTATAATTGGATAGTTGTTTTTATGTAACAACAAATAAGGGCATTAGACTTGTGAATTTTTTGTTAGAAACGACTATCAAACAGTGATTGTACTCTAATAGGACTAAGGAAAATATGAAGATGACAAATTATTTTTTGATCTCTTTATCCCTATTTTTGAGAAATTTCCATCACTAATTTGTAGATACTTTCCCCATTATTTAAAATCCCAGACCATACACGTAATGGTCCCGTTTGGCAAGTGAGTTTTTTAAATGTTTGTCTAAAACTTTATTATAACTTTCTGTAGAAGTTGTAGAAAAAATTTTGAAGTGTGTAAATTTTTGGATATTTTGAAGTATAGGGCCTGTTTGGAAGTCAGGTTTTTAAGCAAGTTTTTTACCTACTAGTTTTTTAACAACTTTTGCTACAGGAACCCCAAAAAACTTCTCTAAGTTTTTTACCTACCCACTTCAAAATATACAAAACACACAAAAAAAAAAAAAATTTCCTTCCCTTTTTTTTCTTCTTCCTCTCCCATCCCAACCCACCACCACCTCTCCGGGCTAGACTCCTGTTCAATTACCGCTTCCAATTCAATCTATCCATCTATCATGCTCCAGAGTTTGCTCCACTCCAATTCCACTGCTACTTCTGCTTCCAACCCCATTAATTCCGTTCCCATTCCCATTCTCCTTCCCCCCAGCAGAAACGCTCGTCCCTCCTCCAACTCCTCCTCCTCTATGCAGTCCAAGCGCTCCTCCTCTGCCCACCACGAAGACCTCTCCTCCTCAAACGCCGCCACTCCTCCCTTGGCCCCGACAACCCTTCCACCTCCGCTGACAGAACCATCGACTTAGACAACGAGGACGACGACGTTGCTGAGCTCGAAGCCGCCGCCGCAACCGCCTCCTTGGGTGGAGCAGCAGCTGGCGACACCAAGTCCTCCGGCCTCTGTCTCCTGGGCCTCCTCCTGCAATGCGCCGAGTGCGTGGCCATGAACTGTCTCGACGCGCCAGCAACCAGCAGGACCTGAGCCACGGGGGAAGCTTCTTGCGGCGGTTCGTGGAGGCGCTGCATTACTACTCGGCGCTGTTCGATGTGCTGGAGGACGGAATGGGGACGGACAGTGTGGAGAGGCACACGGTGGAGCAGCAGCTGTTGGGGTGCGAAATCAAGAACATCGTGGCCGGAGGTGCTAGAGGTGGGGCCGGTGGCGGAGTAGGGGGTGGAGCAGGCTGCGTTGCTGCTGGGAGGCAGAGGTAACGGGGAAGAAGAAGAAAGAAAAGAAAAAGGAAAGAAAAAAAAAGAAAAAAAAAGAGAAAGAGAAAAAAAAAAGAAAAGGAAAAAAAGTTTTTCGCCTTAAAAAAAACTCCTACAAAAAAGTTTTTCACCTTATAAAAAACTTTTACAAAATTTTTTCAAAAACTTCTACAGTGCACTACAGTAAAGTTTTAGACAAACTCCCAAAAAACTCAGGTTCCAAACAGGCCCATAGTTTAAAAACTTTGAGAAGTTTTTTGAGATTATTGTAGTTAAAGTTGTTAAAAAACTTGTAACAGACAAATTTGGCCAAAGCCTTGCTTGCCAAACAAGGCCTATAATGTTGGAAGGAGTTTTATATATGTGGGTAAACTTTCAAAGTTACAGAAGTATATGTGTCTGTCATCTAACTATTATGTTGTACCTAAACTATCTTATTAATCTCCCAACTGAACGTTATTCACATCTGTATCCTTAAACACAATCTCACCCATTACCCGTGTTTTAAGATCTCATGGACTAGAGTTATATGATTTTTTTTTCAGAATCACATTGTGATGCTATTATAATTATACTTATTTGGATTTGGACATGAAAGTGATAAGAAATGAGAAATGAATTTGGTACATAAGAAATGAAGAATTTGTCACTCTAGCCAATAGAGTTTACAAATTTAACCCAAGTATATCAGATTCACTTTACCAATATTAATCTTGTATAATTGTCCATAGAATTGGGGAGTAGTAAAACAAAAGTCTACAAACTTGAGCTTATAAGTATACTGTATCTATGATGAATCTAACTTAGCAAATCTCTTGACTATGTTCACAAAGTGCAATTGACAAATCCCTGTCCATCCCAATGACTTGCATGTCATTTTGCCATATCTACATTTAGAATTGTAGCAGTCTCTACTACACCACAACAAAATAATATATATATTGAAAACTTCAGATAAATTGCTTCAGAAATTCTGTAGCCACAAGCCTTCCTCGTGTGTTCACAGACAATTTCAGTTCACTTATCTCTTTATCAATATCCTGCAGTTCAAGGAAAGTAAAAAGTTTAGACAAGACTTTCTAACTAGCAACTGCATGGTTTTTGTTGAACTGGACATAGGTTGAAAGAACTTCAAGCACAAGCAAAAACTAATAAAAATGAGATCCACATTGCTAAGATAATCATTAGTCATTAATAAAATCTGCACAGGAACAGCATCTCCTTTTCCGAATTTTGTTACGAAATGATCACTTGTTTCATAGTACTCTACAACTCAGAAATAATCCCAGTATTAATAATATCTGGTTCTTTACACAATCAGCACACTTTCTTTCTAATTGGTGCCAAGTACCTAAGAACCAATGACAAACTTTAGCATGCTTAGCCCGTTTATTATTCTCAGCAGCTGCAAAGAAACAAAATGAGCGGCCAAGTGCGCTAGATTCTGAAATTGAAGGAACTAAGTGAAACAAACCCAAAAAGAAAGTTCATATGGAACCATCTATGGATGAACTTGAAAGGGTATGTAAAAGAGTGAACAAAAAGTGGCTTGATTAAACCCCCAAAAAAAAAAAAAAATGGTGTGCTAAAGATGCAGATAATTGATTATTTTTGAAGATCCATAAGTGAAGGATCAACACATAATGAATGTCTTTGTTCCCAAGTTGAAACCGTGAGGTCAAGGTAGCATAACAAAATAATACCTAACTACACTACTTTTCATGTTACTGATCTAGCCAGTGACATCAATTGGAACAAGATTTAAAGAAGCAAAAGTGTTCGAACCTCGTGTGTAGTCTCTAACCCCTAGAATTTATTAAGCACCAGAAGCAAGTGTTCTAAGAAACCACATTCCCCTCATAAATGATATATCAAGAATGTTAATTTAACTTGAATACAAATGGTATTCACCAATAGCCTAATCTGACATATTTCTGAGCACTTTTGATGTGTAGCAGAAATTCCTTCTCCAGTAAAGAGGAAGATATTATCAACTTGAAATTGAAATTCTGATTGATATATTTAATTCCTTGGTTGCCAATGAACAGCTACAAGTTTTCTATCTATTTTAACTTTTGTAAAACTACAGGCAGATTATCAACATCTAAACTCAGTAAAATCTTACCTCCATGAACTGAACAATAAAATCTATGAGTCTCTGTTTTTGCATCTCCTCACAGTGATAATTTGTGATGAGGAAACTTATGTCGTAGCCCTGAAATGAGCCATTTGAAAGCTTAAAGCCTCTGAATCAAAAGATATTGCCATGTATATATTGTTAGAAGCAAATTAGGTAGAAACAATATGCAACTTTACAGCAGTAAAGCCGGCTCATTTGTAAAAGGAAACACCAATCTTTTTTACTATTGATTGTGCCAAAATTGAAAAAGAACTAGGAATATGAACTAAAATCTCACATCACCATATTGACTCAAATAATAGAGATGAAAATTGTTAGGATGGCAAAGAATGTCCACCTCTACATTAAACTACTCAGCATAGTATCTTAGATCACCATATTACGGAAAATGAAACAGAATGAACACATACAAGGCCATAGATTGACCTACTAAATGTATCATCATTGTACAAAATTTTCTACTAAATGTGCTTATCATTGTAAAACATTTTTCTAATTCTTGATTACATCTCTCAATACTTACTAAAGAGGAAATGGAAACAAATAAAATTTGACCAGAGAACAATTGCGGATGAAAAATATGATTTGACGAAGTTGAATTAAGATGTTTGAAATTTTGAGAAAGAAAGTAGATAATGGCTTTATCTGTCACTGCAATCCTCTATTTTACAAGGTCAAGTAACAGCATGATTAAAAGATATTGCCCCAGTTTTATTTACCAGAAAAACACAAATGTATTTCAATGTGATGAAAATTTTCCATTCAAGCACTTTTGCACTATGGCCATCCTTGGCAGAAAAGTTAATAGATGTTTCCATGTCACGGAGGCAAACTCAATATTGCCAAGTGGTCGCCAAATTTACCTGGTTCTAATACCTAATTATGTGCATCTTATGTCATGGGACCATAAAGATGCTCATGCTTCCTATTTAGGTGAAAATGTCATATCAGCAAAGATCTACACTGACAAGTCCAACTATATCGTCGTACCACAATATGAGGCTCCAAATGAAAATACAGCATTGCAATTATTTTAGAGGAAGATGTTTCCATGTTTGACTGCCTAAATGCATTTAAAGAAAAAAAAAACATATATTTCACATCAATTTATGGATGATTGTGGAGTAAATCTTCTTTAATTGAAGCCAATGAAATTTAGTTTCAAAGCTTCTTACACTTTCAGAATAAATGTAAAAAGACTTACAATCGCCTTAAATTGATTCTTGGAATAAGAAGGGCAGTTCTGGAGTACCAGGAAACAATACGCATAAAAGCATGCATCAGGAGACTTAAACCCATTCAGTGGAGGCTCCAGAAAGAAAGGCAAACATCAAACGTGATCGAAAAGCATGAGAATAGTTTTTAGATTCAAATCCAAATCATAGAAGCTTCCTTTTGTGGCTAGCCACATTTAATATGCATTTAGATTTTAGAGTTTGGAAAGCACATGAATTATCTTTTAGAGCTCAATCCAACTCAAGAACAATTAGGAAGCAAAAGAAAATACAGAAGTCCTCTTCTGAAGTAACATGAGCACTTAATGCACTTAATATCTATCACATTTTGCTAAAGGCCAATAAGTCTCACTTTTGACAAAAACTTTCAAGTTATCAAAACTGCCATAAGAAAATTTTCACATTATACCACTTTCCTAGGGGCAATCGCATTTACAATCTCATAATTTGGTATTACGATGGATCATTTCTAGAACTACACAACTCACACTACATTATAACATTGTGTTGATATCCATTTCACAAATTTCCAGTCAGAACTTAACAGGTAGTCTTTTGGGACAGGTATGCAGTTAATAGGCCTTATGCCTTTGATGACCTATGGACTTGTAACAAGTTTGGTAACACAGAGAATCAGTCAAACTCCAAAGATAGAACTTATAGGTAAAATCCAGATTAATATCAGCTGATCATATATTTTGCCATACATACCTGCACAGGCTTCCTCCTTAGTACCTGAAATGCCTCTGCTCTCATTGACAAAAATCTAAGGAATTTCTTTGTCAAAATGTTTTCAAGTTCATCTGCTTGCTTCACCTGTGCCCCAAAAATTTAAAAGAACAAAATAAGAAAAGGAAAAGAAATCCCTTTCTCACTCCCTCCATCAAGGTTTGAGCCTAGCATTTTGGGAGCATTTTTTTTTATTATTAAAACTGTGAAGTTGCATAATTTTACTGCATTTTGGACTTGCACCCGGGTAACATAGCCACAAATAATCACACGGAGGGAATTGTTTTCTTGTACCTAAACAAGGTGGGGCCATGGTACTCTCTTAGTTCAGTCAAGATGTTAACCGACAAAGTAGCCTGTTTTTCTCCTATGTATTCCCACATATTAGTTGGGTTCATGCACTCTGTTGGTGCATCAACGTCATTTTTTGTAATAGAAAATTCAATGTGTAAATATATTGGGGGTAGAAGTGGAAATTGAAAGTGAAACTCTCTACCATATTTCGAAGTGGCAACTATTTTCCAACATATCCAAAAGAAAGCATTATAGATTCAATAAAAGAGAGACAGTATCGAGTTTTAGCATAAACAGGTATTTAGTTAACATGTGCTCATTTTCGCGGATGATCACCTAAACAAAGCCATTTCCACTCACTGGGTATTTGAAATGCACTTTTAAAAGTATATTCTGCGGCTGAAATGATTCTCATGCATAACTATATGTAGAAACTGGTAATATAAGTACTTAGCTCCTAATATTTTGATAGCTTAAGCCTTACTGAAATCTTGATGCTTGAAATGGGTACTTGTATGTGTTACTTTACCAATCCCAGAAAAAGACAGTTTACAATTCCTCACCCATCACCAAGAAGAAGGAAAAGAATAGAAAAAGTCCTACAGAACTAGATAAAAGCACAAAGAAAGAGGAAGGCTATCTGTGGTTCAACAAAGAGGAAGGCTGTTGCAAGGGTCAGTGGTTCTTCATGTTCCTAACATTTCAAAATTTTCTGACAGTATGTGCAAATGTGTTATACAACAGCATTACAACAAATGTGATGTCATGCTTATAAATAAGTGAGGAACTTACCTTAAGGCTTATACGTAGAGAATTAATTGATGTTTCTATCAAGCACTTTTCAGCCTCATTTCTACATATTACAACCTGAAAGATGACAATCTGACAGCATTAGGACTGTGGATAAGAAAATCAAAGTGTTCAAAGCCTCCAAAGTTATGGTATTTTGAAGGGAGATTAATAAATAACAAAACACTCTTTGTTACAATAACAAAAGACCTTTTAAGTGTTACAAAAGACCTTTTAAGTGTTTTAGACATCTTTCAAACCAAGTTTTTACATTCTAACGTTTTGGAACAAGATAAGAACAGAACATGCAGTAGCCAATGGAATTCCACTCCGACAAAGCACAGGAAACAAAGACCCTACCAATTTCTTAAGCAACTTTGTCCTAGAAGCACCCAAGACAAGGGGCAATGATAATGGAATGTTAAGATGTAGAGCATAGATAAGATATGGATATAGCATGACATCAACAAATAGACAACATCTTGTTTTTTGGTTTTAAAATAGAATATGGCATGTTCTAACAATATTTTACGCAATGAAACTGATGAATAAAAGAAAGAAAGAAGCAAAGAAAGAGAGCTGTTCATGTTCAGAGAAATTAACACCAATGTACACATCCATATTTCAATCCAAGAGGGCAATTCAGGAATAAAATGCAGCATGAGAACAAGGAATTGCAGACTCCATAGGTCCTTAGCCACTCTATCATGGAGGGATAACAAGAACATTTCTGATATTGAAGTTTAGTCACTTTTGACAATTAAACTACTTGAGGTAGTTGCTGTCCCATTACTTTCATTAGAAAGTGACCCAAAAAGTTCCATCAGATGCCTCAACATGTACAGGCACCACAGCAACAGATCTCATATGAAAATAAATGCTGCTACATTTGGACAAATTTCCAACTCAGCATTTTGAAAGGGAAGGGGAGGGGGAAAGCATGAGTCCACACACAGCACTTTAGACATCGTTAGACATCAAAAATCACTAAAACCACTAACAAGGAGACAAAAAATATTAAGAAAGATGTGAGTGAAACAGTCCTTACAGAATTAAGCAGAAGTTCTGGGCTAGTCCTGAAAATAAATTAAAAAATGTAAAGTTATACAAATCTCATGAATGTAATTAGTCATTTATGCTAGAAAAGTACCAGACAGTAAATTGTCATCACAGAAAAGACACATAGAAGGTCTAAAATAGCCTACATGATAATCATGCGCAAAATATAGCAGAAGAGACCAATGACTTAACCACCTTCAGTCACCAGACACACCCATGCCAAAGCATCAATAAGATCAGCATGCTACTTGGAATAGCTACCATAAAATTCTAAAATAGATGTTGATACAACACTAAAAAACTGGCACAATCAGACGATTCTTACATCTTCCCGCTTGTTCACTACTGAAGGACCTGAAGTGAGGATTATACTACTAATTAAGAATTTCACTAATGGACCAAGCCAGCAAAACTATATGTTTTACATCCCATGCTCCAGCCAGAGTCAGAATAGAATCCAAAGAATATAGTTAATATTTCTATAAGATGCAATTGCAATCCTTGGCACCTAAGAATGGCATCAACATGTTGACTTAACCTCCTACTCAAAGTGCATACTGTTTGTCATATGGGCCACATTTTTTTTTTCAAACTCAGATAAAAGAAAAGCATATCAGAAGCATCTTGAGACCATCAAAAGATTCACAAGAATTTTCAAGTCATATCAACTCTAGGAATTACAAGAGTATACAAACCCAGATATTTTATAAGTTTCAACTCTATCAGAAATATAGCACTTGATTAGAAAAAAAGAGACTGCTGCCAATCCTAACTATGAAGAACATACAAGATCACTACAAACCGGACCAGCATGCAAGAACTTAACCTTTTTGTAATCTAACTCGCATGCTATATTTGTCAATTATCACAAAATTGAAAGTTTAGAATTTAATAAGCATAGCGATTGAAACTAACTAATGTGACAACAGTGAAGAGCAACATACTTCAGTTCAACTTCAGGTTTGTTATGTCTTTCAACTTCTTGACAAGGGAAGTTCTGCAGTCAGTTTTTGCCAGGACAAAGGAAATCATCAGAAGGCACCACTTCTCATCAAAGAAAACATGGCAATATTATAGTGGATAAGATATCATCTTTATGTAAAGTAACAATGCCAAGATTCAGATTCTATCTGTTTCCGATCATATTCTGTGATTTCAATCAGAAAAGTATATTAAATAAAAAATATGAAGTTGTTTTTGAATTGTTAGAGACTCAGAGGCAAAAGTTCAGCCAAACTTGTATCTGACAAAAGTTAGAAGACACAACATTTAACATCATGTTAGCTGGTTCAATGCATTGCTACAATCTGTACTGTGTATTACGGCGTTAGAGAGACAGAGATTTGTCCTGCATAGAACTTCCTTGAAAGCAGCATTTGATACGTACTTGTAGACACATGGCAGCTTCAAGAGTGTTCCTTATGCAAGTCAGATACAACCTTAACATGTTTGCCTGAAGGATTTCCAAAAAAATGTAAAAACCACAGTTCATGCCATACACAAGTGAGGTCCAGATTAGACTTTAACCAAGTAGCATAAGATAACTGCAGAGAAACTTCCAAACACACTTATTATTTCAAGAGATAGTGACAGGGGAAGAAAATTGAGAAGTACCATATTGAGGTTTATGATAAAAATTCTAAAACCATATCCTTAGAATGATGATTCTTCCTTAAAGTTTCATTCGACACACAACATTAGCAACTCTTTTTTTACCTTGATTTACAATTACATGGATGAAGGAAAATATATATATATATATATATTATTTTCTCTTCCTTCTTTTTCTTTTTAATTTTTCTTTTTCTTAGAGCAGTGGTTTCAGAATTTCAATTTCAGGGCCTCTACTGTACAGAAAAAACAAATGTAATCAATTTCGCCTCAAAACATTATGATGAGATGAAATAACCAAAAACTGGAGTAGTTTTTTTGTAAAAATCAATGATAAATTAAAGAAAGTACAACCTAATTATCTTCTTTAACCATAAAAGATATTTGTCTATCAGAAGCAATTTCTAGTAGGGGTGAGCATTCGGTGCAAATGCGGTAAATCGGTGCACTGAATTCGGTTTTTCGGTTATTGCACCTATAGAAATCTAAACCGTTTTCAATTACGAATTGGGCATTACCGAATTCATGCGGTACCCGATTTCAAATTCGAAAACGGTAATGAATTCGGTCTAACCGAATTCATCTATTATTTAAAAAAAAACCTGAAGCAAATTAAGAGAATATATAAACCAATCTTTATAGTTCAGCAACTACCAACCCCCGCAAGCCATTAGATGTTTCTCTTTTACACATTGCAGAAAATTCATATCCATTATCCTAGGTACAACTTCTGGAGCCGTACTTTCACTAGATGTGCACCAGAGATTGAGAATCTCCACGGACAAGGAGGTAAAATTTTCATTTTAGCAAGTTTTTTCCTTTTTAATTTTTCTAACGGGTAAAAGGTGGAATTTTTCCCCAAGGCCTTAACTTTTAAAGGCTGCACAACTGGAGAGAGCTTCTTGTATATAAAATACAAAGCTTATGTTATATAACACCTAACCTAAACTACTACAACAGTTAGAGTTTGCAATTGGAAGCTCAGATTTCGTCCCCTTATCAATTCAGGATAACAAATTTCCTAGTCGATCTTGGCCCATTTTAATGCCAGAGACACAGAGCCAAAAACAGAGGAGCACTTACCTAAGTGAGCCAGAGATAAGCAGTGATGAACCAACGATGAACTAGTGAGATCTTGGTGCTTCGTCTTCGACACTCGGCAGCGATGAACCAGCACGGCAGGACACAGCCGACAGGAGACGTAGAGCGCGGCGGACTGGCAGAGGCCGGAGAGGCAGAGAGCAGCTTCGATTTGGGAATTGGGACTTGGGACTTGGGAGTGTTAGTGCTGTGAAAGCCCTAGGTGACGGCAGTCACGGCACCATGCAATATTGCAAATTTGCAATGGTTGTTTTCTCATTTCAATTTTCATCAGCTGAAGAATGAAATCCGACTTTTTCCAAATGAAGTGATATTGTAATTTTTAATTTACAAATTGGGGCTCCTAAATTATAATACATTCATTATGCTCCTCAATGATTTAAAAATTATTACTAAATTGATCCCCAAATTTATTTATAATTGAACACATTACTTATGTTCAAATCATTTTGTGGTTTAATTGGCATTTATTTGATCACTTATGCCTAAAATCCTTGGTATATGATTTAAGAAACACATAAAAAGTGATTAATTTAAACTAATTTAGTTAGTAGTTACAATGAATTTATAATTTACAATGATTAATAATAAGTAATATTAGTTATAAACTTACAAATTACAATGAATCAATGATCAGTGATAAGTTACATTAGTTACAAACTTATAATTTATTTCAAATCAAAATAAAACTTATTTACTTGATTTGCAACTCACATGTATTCACTTACACTGGTTAGTTATTTTGTCTATACTTAAAGCCTTAAGATTAGTAAATAGATAATATGAACTTTTAACTTATTTGATCACTTATACCTACAATCCTTAGTCTATGATTTAAGGAACACATAAAAAGTGATTAATTTAAACTAGAATAAACCTTAGACTGTACAATGGTTAGTAATAATTTATGAATTTATAATTTACAATGATTAATAATAAGTAATATTAGTTACAAACTTACAAATTACAATGATTAGTGATAAGTTATGTTAGTTACAAACTTATAATTTATTTCAAATCAAAATTAAACTTATTTATTTACATATGTTATTGTGAAAGTCAATACACTAATACATTGATTTGCAATTCATATACATTCACTTACACTGCTTAGTTGTCTTATCTATACTTAAAGCCTTAAGATTAGTGAATATGTAATATAAATTTAGAGTACACTAATACTTGCAAGTTATAGATTACGCATTCAAATATTCAATAATTCAAACATGAATGATGTATCAAATTACCAATATCTAAATTCTAATTACTAATTATGTTTATTGTTTAATATTTAGTATTATACATATATGTATTAATTATTATCTAATTCTAGTCATGTTACTCATGTATAAAATAATAAGTATTATAGTTATCTTATATTGTAATGTATTACTATGCATTATTGTAGTCATATAACAATTAACAAATACTAAAATAATATAAATATATTGTACATTATTATATATTATTATTATTATAAATACATGATATGATGATAATATCATATACTAATTATTATTAATAGCATTTACCTATATAATATAATAAAGTATTAGTAGTATATACTAATACTAAATAGCATTTATCTATATATTATATAATTTTATATACCAATTTGGTAATTCAAATGCGGTAATGCGGTACCCGATTTCAATTACCGAATTTGAATGTGAAATCGGTTATTACCTAATTCATAATCTCATTACCTATTTCATACCATATTAGAATTCGGTGAATTTGGTACGTACCGAATTTGTACCAAATTACCAAATACCCGATTTCAAATTACCGAATTGAATTTGAAATCGGTTATGAATTCGGTAAGAACCGAATTTGCTCACCCCTAATTTCTAGACACATTGCCAACGTCATTTCTTTAATAACATTTCGGAGCTTGATTGTAGCACTGGAAATGCAAAAAGAAACCTAGAGTTTCACATTAATATCATATTCAACAGCACTAGCTTATGTAAATCACAACATCATACTAAACCAGGTGAAAAGTAATCTACTTCAAATAAGTCGAGAAATAAAATGTTAAATCATGAAAAGTCAAACACTCTTGTCATTTATTAATATAACAAGAAATATGTCAAAAAAACCAGGAGAAAATGGAAAAAAATCCTCATAGATTTTCCTCTTTGTATTGATCCTCAACACTCGAAGATACAAAAGCCATTTGATTTACTGAGCCCCGAACTTCCCAAAAAATATTTAACTCACATCACATTGGCCAAATCCAAGCTTTAACTCACGTAGAATTTAAACAGTCAAATAGTAGAATAGTTCCTAAACATGAAATTGGGAAAAAAAAAAGAAAAAGAAAAAGCAGCGTTAGTTATAGATCAACTTTGATCAAGAACAATAGCAAAACTCACCGCCATTCTTCTATTATCTCCCCTTACAACAGAGAACTGAATTGGTTTCTGCAAAATCCACAAACAAAAAAATCAGAGCTTTTGCGCTCAAAAAACAAAAAATCAGCTTTTGCAAGTGCGTTTTAAGAGATTTTCATTGCATAAAGAAGAGTTTAGCGAGGAGATAGGAGAGAAAGGAAAATGGCGAATTGCCAATTGGGCCTTCAATTATGGCTGGAACAGATTCAGGACCCAATTTTCTTGTTTTTAGATTTTTAGTCCTTCGCTTGTTTCTAATTGGGCCCTATGAGTGCTTTAAAAAATTTTCATTTTTTAATCTTTAAAAGGGAAAATTATTCAAAACGTCTCTCACATTTTATAAAATAACTTTTTTCGTCCTCCACTTTTAAAAGTATAATTTTACGTCACTTACAAATTCATATTGATCAAATTTGGTCCCTACCTAGGTTTTCGACAAATTTTTAGTCAGAATTCAGCCTTGCATGTAATTATTTTTTAGGTGTAAAATTGTCAAATCAAAATTTACATAATCCATCTATAATCCCTAACCTTTCACAAAATGAATTATTTCGCCCCTTACATTCACAAAATAAATTTTTTCATCCCTCACATTTCACAAAATGAATTATTTCATCTCTCATCGACCATGTATACAAATAGTTTTTTTTTTAAAAATTCATGTATATATATCTATTTGATTTCACTTGAACAATATGAATAGTATGTAATATATCTTTATTTTATTTCACTTAAACAGACTAATTGTAGTTGTGCATATGCTATTCAATAGATATATACATGGGTTTAAATCTAATAATTTTGTTTTAAACTCATATATATTTATATTTAATTTCACCATGTAAATTTATTTAATATTTGTAACCTTTTCTATTTTGGTAATAATTCATTTATTAAGTTGTATAATAAGACCATCTAATTAATCAATGTTAATTCAAATTTTATACTCATGCTAACAAATTGCAATTTAAATCTGAAATTTTTACTTGCTACCTTTAAGACCAACAGTTGAATTTCTTACCTTATGATTATCTTAAAATTTAAAAGTGTCAATCACTTACTTCATTTTGTCATACTTTTCCTTTGTTTATTTTTTTTGTCCAAATTTAATTCGATATAAATGATTGATAATGTTTAGAATTAAATATCTTCTTTGTTTTCAATTTTTTGAGTAAAAGAAATGAACATGAGTAAAAAACTAATATTTTTTTTAAACCCCTATATATATCTATTTTAATTTCACTTGAACAGTACGTTCAGGTAAAATCAAATAGAGATATATTACATGCTTTTATATTGTTTAGGTGAAATCAAATAGATATATATTAATTTTAAAAAAATTATTCGTACACATGATCAATGAGGGATGAAAAAAATTATTTTGTAAAATATGAGGAATAAAAAAAAATTATTTTGTGAAATGTGAGGGATGAAATAATTCATTTTGTGAAATGTGTGGGACTATGGATCAGATTATATAAACTTTGATTTGACAATTTTGTCCTTCAAAAATGATTACAAGCAAAGCACACGGTGGATTCCGATCAAAAACTAGTCGGAAACCTAGATAGGGACCAAATTTAACCAATGTGAATTTGTAAGGGACGTAAAAATATACTTTTAAAAGTGAGGGACACAAAAAGTCATTTTGTAAAATGTGAGGGATGTTTTAAACGATTTTCCCTCTTTAAAAATATCAAAGTACAATAATGATACAGATTTTGTAAGAAAATGCTTAAAAATACGGATAAGTACAATGAAATTATGCAAGATATTCCAGACTTATAGAAGTAAAAGTTAGTATATATAATTGTTATTTTGTTTTGCACAATGAAAGTTTAGAAGGCGAGAAAACTTGTCTCATTCCAAGGTCAACATAAGTCATTACGCACAAAGTAACTTGAAGTAGTTTTTGTATTAGCTTACAAACAGTGTTTTTAACTAATTGATGGATTTACTACATTAAAAAAAAGATGTAGAATAATTCTCAATAAGTTTAGTGTTTTCATTACATTGTAGAATTACTAGTCAAATTTTTAAGAACCAAAAAATCAATAATAGACATGGCATCACTTTTAAAAAACCAATTAAACATAACATGGTGTAACTTTTAAGAAAAAGTTCTTAATAGTACCATGTTTAATCAATAATTCACTATTCAACAATAAGTTTAATTAATAATCTTCTATATATTAACGGCGTATACACGATTAGTTTCAGATAAATGACAACTGTACAAAATTTGGATTTGAAATCTTATTTTTGCACGTGTCGTAAATCCAACCGCAATTACGTATACATTGACAGTATATAAAAGATTTACTCATAAATTTACTATTGTCTTTTTTAAGGTTTTTTGGTAAAGGATTTTCTTTGCTATTCCACAATGATATATTAGTCTTACAACAGCTAGTCCTTACGTCATTATTCCTGTGGACTGTGGTGCAACACTACAGAGGCGTATTGTTTTATATTTATCTCTTGCCGCTCTTTCTTAGAATTTCCATTAATTTTTTGCTTCTTTAACCAAAAGACCTCAGAGATATTTCACTACCAGTTTCTCTATTTTTCTTTCTTCACTCTTTCACCTCATTTACCGATGGAATATTCTTGTTCTGCAGTTTTTGCTATCATTCTTTTAACCTTTCTCTATATTTTAAATTCCCTGTTGATTTTTTTCTCTTTTTCTCGCACAATTTCAGTTTAGTTGGGTTGTATAATGGTTTTCGCTTGTGATTTTGATTTGGAGTACTGTTAAGAATTGAATTTCATGGGAAATTATTTTTAGGGTACAATGTGTGATGAATAGATCCTATTCTGTTCGCCTATATACATACAAAATGCACAACTTCAATGCATTTGTATATAGTCTATATTAGTC